ATTTGTATTAGATACAATGTATATATAATTGGTACCAAAATTTAAAAGCACGAGGTAATTTCTTTTTTTTTTATTACAACTAACAGGCAACAGAACAATGTAAGTCCGACTTGAATATAGTTTAGGCATTGTTTACCTTTATTTCCAGAAATAGAATTTGGAGATGTGAATCTTTTAACTCCTTGTGGTTAAGAGAAAAAAAAAGCAATTACTTAAATTTAATATTTACACTACTGCTAAATTGACTTTGGTTTTTATTTTAGTTGATGTTCATCTTAAAAAATGTTACTAAAATATGGGAGCATGATAATTCGAACTCATTCACTTAAAAATATTTCATTAGAAAAAAAAACGATTTTATTGAAGGCACGTCCATCAAATTTCTCTATAAAGATTAGTGCAAAATTTAACAATGAAAAAAAATATTTACAAAAATATAAATATAAAAAAATGATATGGAGGTAAAATTAGGAAAGAGATTAGACATGGTTAGAGAATATTATTGTAAATTTTAATTTGTTGATTGATAGTGTTTATAAATGAAATAACCTGTAAGAATTCATCTAAAATTTGAGAATCATTCACTTGGTAGTCTCATTTATCTCCCACCTCATCAATCTCAACTTTTTAAATTAAGTATTTTACGGTACTAGTTATTTGTTTATTTATTTTTTTTAGACAATGTTATTTGTTTATTTATAGGATTAATAACATTTCTTCTAATAAAAAATTATACAACGTTTATTATTAGACATGATTTTATTATAAAATATTATAATTTTTTCTAATTAATTTATACTTATTTAATTAATTTATTATTTTTACTTAAGATCAATAAAATTTATTATTAAATGATGATAGTTATAATAAAAATTATATTAATATTTGTTGTGAATATAATTTTATTTTAATGATGCATTATTTATTAATATTAATTCAATTGTTTAAATAAAAAAATATTACTATCAATAAAGTAAATTAAAATTTCTTATTACTTTTAATTAAAAATAATATTAGTACATTATTTAATTAATGTATTTATAATTAGTTATAAATAAAAAAATTAGTATTATAGTAATTATTATATGTTTTATTCTTATAGTTTTAGTAAACACCATTCAATCCGATTTCAGATTTTTTTATACTAAACAGCATATTAATTTTGATTAATTTCATTTCAATGGATTTTGATTCTAATTTCTTATTATTCTGATTATTATTAAGTAAATTGGTAAAAAAGTTATTTTATTTTGGGATTAAAAGTGACAGTGGATAAGTACTAGACATAGCCAAATGGTCAGATGTGATGTGTTGTGTGTGTCTTGTTCCATTATACGTAACAAAACCGGCGATTTATTTATTTATTTAATATTTAATAAAATGCATGTATGTCGTTCGTTGGAAAACGACAAATCGAATGCTGATTCCCCTTGTGGGAGGGTCTAAGCCGTTACGCTATTGGCATGGCGTGAAGCAGCCCTTTCAGTTTGGCTTTGGCAGTGCGTCTCCGTCAGCACGAGAGCAAATTTATAAAAATAAAAAATAAAAATAAAATCAAGTTATTTCATTTCATTGTGTATAGGCCTTTGTTTTTTAATAATGTTAAAAAAAAAACAACAAGAAAAACAGGTAGGTTTGAAAATATTTCCAAAAGTATAGTATCTATACACGATTTAGCAAAATCGTGTCCATATTTTAGTAGACTCGTGCCCAATGGACGTGAGTCTTGTGTGACGTGGCTCCAATAACTCTGCAGTTGGAGCCACGCGGGCGATAAAAGATCGTGTACATTGTACACGATTTCAGTGCATCAGGTCCTCACACCCTTTTCTTTTTTCTTTTTTTATCCTTCAATAATACTTGCTGTTTTTTTTCCTCGAATGCACTTGTCCAACATATATAATAATATGGCGTCAACGTTGTGACCGATGAGTATTACATTTCTTTAATTAATTAATTATGATATTAATTTAAATTTATATGCTAATTTTTTATTTTCTATTTTTTGTAGAATTTTTTTGTCAGTGATATGCAAAACATTGCAGTAGAACATAATACCGCAGTTCGGTTCTTCATGCGAGAACTTTATTCAAAGCACAAACATCCGGGAGGGCACTAGTAGCCCAGTTTCTTCCAACTTTGAGAGGAGGCGCGCTTGAGAGGAGACTTGCTCGTCGTAGGCGAAAAATTCAACCGACAACTTTAAGTTTGTATACTTTCCAAATTCAGTTGGCAAATTATTATGGTTAATAAATTTTACACAAAAAAAATTTTTGGGTGAACTCGTGTACATTGTACACGATTTACCAAAAATCGTGTACGATGTACACGGGTTTAGTAGATTTAGTCCACGTCACATTCCACATGTAAAACGTGTACATTATACACGATTTTTGACTTTGACTCCACTACCCTACTTTTGTCAATAGTTTTGAAATTCACCTTATTTCATATTTTTATTATTTTATTTACATTTTTTAATTTTATTTTATAATTTACATGAAATTTGTAATTTCTTTTTTAATGTATATTATTTGAAAATTTTGTCCTTGTGTATAAAATGTTTCCTAAAATGTTAGGAATAATTATCAAATTAATCCCTTTTTAAAATTATAAGGACCAAAATAAATATCTTAAACCTACATTAACTAATAAAAGATGAAAATAATTGTATATAAAATATTGCCTAAAATGTTACAAATAATTATCAAATTGATCACTTTTAAAACTATAAGGACCAAAACAAATATCTTGAACGTACAGTCATAATTTTAACATGACATTTCACTTCTTAAATTTCTTGAAATGTTATCATTGCGTATAAAACGTTTGCTAAAATGTTACGAATAATTATCAAAATTGATCACTTTGACCAAAACAAATATATTGAACGTGTAGTAACTAATGGAAGATGAAAATATATAGACTAAAATAAATATTTTAAAAATATAAAAATCAAGATGAACGGGGGATGAAAACAGTAGTTAAATCTTTTATCTACATATGCTGTGTCAGTTGCCACTCCGGACGGGGCAGCACGTATGAACTTGGTTCCCTTTCTGTGATTTGCATTTTGCACCCATAATTTTTTATCAAATAAGCTAAAATTTAACACTCACGGGAATTCTGTTAAAATAAGACGCACCAACACCAAGGAAATTAAAAATTAAGATAACAAAAATCACTATTGAAATGGAAAGAAATAAGACATTAAAAATAAGATATATGACATCTTATTCTTATTTTTATCTGTTAATTAATGAACAACTCATTTTTATGATCAATTTTAATTTTAATCGAGTTCTTATTTTTCATAAACAATAAAATTTATAGACAAAATGATGATGTACATATCAATATATATTTTATTATTAGAGATGAAAATGTCATATATTTTAATATAAAAATAGTCATATTCATTCATCCAATTAAAAAATTACCAGTACAGATGAACGTACATAAATAATATAAAATAAATATGTATTTTCAAATATAGTAAGGTAAACATTTTATGAGGTACCATTCAAATCAAATTGAAACTCAAATGTAACAAAACAAAGTTAAGAAACATGTTATTGTTTTTTGAGAAAAAAATATATTAAAAAATACGCATGGCAGTAGGCATTAAATTATATATTTTTACTTATATTTGGAATACACCAGTAAATTATATATTTAGTTAAAACAAAATAGTAATGCATATTTTAAATTTATTATATTTAATTCATATGGGAATTCGTCGGAAAAAAAAATCAGGAAGAGCGGGGAAAATGGACATTATAGGCATTTGCTGACATCACCTCTACACCAAATGACCCTCACTACCCCTCAACTAATATTTTAGACATCCCTCCTGATTTCCTCTCCCTATCTTCATCCCCCTCTTTTTCCAGATTTTTTTTTATCGTTTTTCATTATTCTCTTTTCCTCTCCAACAAAGTTTTTTTTCTCATCTTTACTGATCAATTTACTTTTAAAAAAAACCCCTAAATCTTTGAGCTTTTTTTTAAACCAGCAGCCTTCATGGTTCCTGTGATTTCGTTGACGACGGTTGCATCAAAGCCGACGAAGAAAGTCATTCGCTGAAGAAAGAAGCTCAGTGGAAGAGGAATGGGGGAGGAGATAAAGAGAGAGAGCGAGGGTGAGCAAGAGAGAGAGAGCGAGGGTGAGCGAGAGAGCGAGATCGAAGGGAATCTAAAAATAATATTTTTAACGAATCTCAATATTAATTCAAATTGTTTCCCGAAATCTCTCATCGATCCCCTTAAATTTCTCAATAATTTTAATTATAATTGAATTTCAAATCCCCCAATTTTGCTTTTCAAATCCCCAAATTTTGCTTTCCCATCTTTCATTCTCGAAATCTCTCATCAATCTCCTTACAAAATTACGATAAATTACGATAAGAAAACATAGAGGAATGCTTTTCCCCATCTTACTAATCATAATGAAGGGGCAGGCAATCGGTCAAAGGTATCCCCAAGTCGGAATTCCAGCAAACACCAAGAAGTATCCATTCTTAACACAAAGAAACCGCSGGAGTGGGGGATTGTCCTCCTCACTGACCCCAAAGAGGGTGGCTCTGTCGCTAAGCTGGCCGGCAGAAAGGACACCAAATGCCTAAACAAGACAAAAACCTACTAGATGCTTAACACAAACTTTCCGGTCTTCCCTCTAGCACACGGGGATCGGC